CGCAGACTTTATCGTGAAAGGTTGGGGATAATTGCAAAGAGACCCGTAGAAATTGGATTATTTAGCATGAGAGGTCGGTGTTATATTTGACGGGACGCGTGTTAGCTATGGATTGGATGCGGGAGAAGGAGGACTAAGCGGTGCCTGGTTGCCGAGTCCGCCGTACTCAGGGCCGTGGCATACTGCCATTGCATTTACATTAGACCGGTTAAAAAGGTATCCACCGAAGCTGCATGTACAGATGTACTGACCCTTTCGAGAATATTTTTAAGGTGCTTAATACCTATTGATTCATTTGCGGTGTAAATACTTTTTTAAAAAAAAATTTTTAAGAAAATAGTATGGTTTAAGAAAATTTAATTTTATATTTGATGCGTCGTCACAAAATTATCTTGATCGGGCACGAATCTCAGGGCAAAAAGCTAATCCGAAACTTCAAAAATTAAATCCGGAAGCACCAGAACTCTAATTTCAGTGAGCCTATAGTTAAACTGAGCGTTGTAGAAATTCATTCCTTCAAGAAACCAGAGAGGAGAGAATAAACAGTCAAGGAATATAGTAATTTTATTATCTTTTCATCCTTTGTTACATGAAGACAGACGAGTATATATAGACGGCTGTAGAGTTAATAACTCGTGTAAACAGGTAATTGGATTACAAGATTAATTAACTAGAACTAATATAGTCTTAACATTCCCCCTCAAACTGACGATCGGGAAACAATAGTCAGTTTGTGTCTCAGTAGTTTGAACCGAGCGGTAGCCAAGGGTTTCGTAAGAATGTCGGCGAGCTGATCAACCGTGCTTATTGGTAGCAACCGAATTGTATTGTTCAAGATATGCTCACGCACAAATCGTTGATCGATTTCTATATGTTTCGTTCTAGCGTGAAATACGGGATTATTTGCTAGAGCTATTGTGGAAGTGTTATCACAGAAAACATCAACCGGATTCTTGTGATCAATGCTGAATTCTTTGATAAGGCGTTTGATCCATATGGTGTCAGCGGTGGCGGATGCTAACGCTCTATATTCAGATTCTGTGGATGATCGAGAAACGGTGTTTTGTTTCTTCACGGTCCATGAAACAAGTGTATCACCAAGAAAGGTACAAAATCCGGTAGTAGATTTGCGTGTAACAGGATCCGACGCCCAGTCGGCGTCTGAGTATGTTCGGAGCTGTAGGCTGGATCGGGAAATGGGTAGACCGAACTCAAGTGTGCCTTTAATGTATCGAAGGAGTTTCTTTAGCATAATTGTGTGAACCACTTCGGGTTTGTGCATATGCTGAGACAATGTATTCACAGCATAAGCAATGTCGGGTCGTGTTAAAGTCAGGTATTGTAGAGAGCCAATAATCTTCCTGTAGAGGAGATCGTCGAAGCACGGAACATCTTCAGATTGCTGATCTGGAAGTTTGGAAAAGGAAGGATTAGCGACCGAGTTGCATTTGTGCAACTCGGCAATTTGAAGAATTGAATTGGCGTAATTGGTTTGAGATAGAAAGTACTTATCTGGAGTGGATTCGATTTTGATGCCGAGGAATTGATGGGCTAAGCCAAGATCTTTCATAGTGAATTTGTGTTTCATTTGCTCTATAAGTTCCTTCATTTTGTTGTTGTCGTTCCCGGTAATGAGAATGTCGTCCACGTAAACCAATAAATAGATTTGTAATTTATCACGGTGCAGGATCAGAAGGGAGGGATCGGACTGACTATGCTGGAATCCAATGTGAAGTAAATAGGTCGTAAATGTTGTGTACCATTGTCTTGGTGCTTGCCGAAGCCCATAAATGGCCTTCCGGAGACGGCAAACATGTGTTGGTTGAACTGAATCTTCAAATCCCTTAGGTTGTCTCATATAGACAGTCTCGTTGATATCACCGTGCAAAAACGCATTTGCAACGTCGAGTTGATAAACATTCCAGCTGTGAAAAAGAGCAATAGTAAACAAAATTCGTATGGTGGGTAGCTTGGCTACCGGGCTAAACGTTTCCTGGTAATCCAGACCGAATTCTTGTTGATTTCCTTGAGCGACGAGACGAGCTTTGAATCTTGCAACAGAGCCATCAGAATTGTACTTGGTTCTGTAAGTCCATTTTGATCCAAGAACCGTGCCTGAGATTGGAGGGGGTACTAGTTCCCAGGTGCCTTGCTTTTGTAAAGCAAAAAACTCGTCGGCCATAGCTCTACGCCAAGTGAAGTGCTTGCTGGCCTCGGTATATGTCGTAGGATCTTTTTGACATTGTTCAGTGTGAATGAGATTGAGTCTGTTTACCGGTTTTAAGTTGCCTGTGCGAGCTCTAGTGGTCATTGGATGTTGGACGGGCAGAGAGGGAACCGCCGAGTGATCTACATAATGATCCGACGTGTGAGCAATGTCCTGTTCACCAACAACTTGTTTATTGAGTAAGGTGCCATTATTGGTGAAGACAGACGTTTGTGTAGTGTTCTGTTGGTGGCCGGTGACCAATTTTTGAGGAAGTGTTGATGCAGGAACAAGTAGAGGATATGGAGTAGGAATATTAGTTTGTGATTCCTGCGAGCACCTGATTTTAAACGAAAACAATGATTCGTTAAATTGCACATGTCTAGAAATAACAATTCTCTGAGTGCACAAATTTAAACATTTATATCCTTTAATAGCTAGTGTCAGCATATCCAAGAAATACGCATGCCTCCGACGTGGGGGTGAGCTTGGTACGATGAATTTGCGAAGATAACGGGTAGCATTCACATCCGAAAATTCGAAGATGTTCATAGGATGGTTTAAGATTGAACATTCTTTGAATCGGAGTGATGTATTTGGTAGTAGCTGAGGGCATTCTGTTAATAAGGTAGGTGGCTGTGGAGGCGGCTTCAAGCCAGTACGACATAGGTAGACCAGCCGTGTGTAGAAGAGTTCTTGTAGTTGTGATAATGTGCCTGTGCTTACGCTCCGCAATCCCGTTTTGCTCCGGTGTATATGGACACGATGTTTGATGCAAAATTCCGACGGCCTTGGTAAATGATTTGAATTGCTGATTTGCAAACTCTCCGCCGCCATCCGTTCTGAGGACTTTGAGCTTGCGGTTAGTTTGTCTTTCAATGAAAATAACAAATTGCTTAAAAATATTAAAGACATCAGATTTCACCATTAATGGAAATAACCAAACGAAACGCGAGAAATCATCAACCAATATTAGGTAATATCTATATCCTTGATGAGAGGGAACCGGAGACGGTCCCCAAACATCGGAATGCACAAGTTCTAGTGGAGCATGAGTTACAGTGTTAGAAAGATCAAAAGGAAGTTTATGTCCTTTACAAGTCAAACAAGATACACATTTAGACTTGTTATTATGAATATGCAGCTCGGGATTATTGCTAGATATGGATTGAAGCACCCTTTGATTGGGATGGCCCAATCTGCCATGCCAGACTACGGAAGGAATACACGTTGCCGAGAGAGCAGTTGTTGAGGTCTGCCGAGTCTTGGAGTGGATCTTATACAGCCCGTTATTGCAAGGTCCTGTAAGAAGAACCTTGTTGGTCGTCCGATCCTTAAAAACGAACCCGTTAGCATCAAAAGTGATGGAAATAGGATTATCTTTGACGAGATTAGAAATAGACAGCAAATTATGTGAAATCGACGGAATGTGTAAAATACGAGAAAGTAATAGCTTACTATCCGGGGTTGGAAGGATACCCTTTCCCGTATGGGCAATGGGAATGGACCTTCCGTCCCCAACGGAAACCATGTCGTTGCCGTCGTAGGGTTGATATTGACCAAGATTGTCAGTCGAGTTCGTCATGTGAGAAGACGCACCCGAATCAATGAACCAGTCTGTGCCCGGATTCCCTTCGGTATGAGTAAGCAGAGCATTGGAGTTCTTGGACGATTTCTGTTGCGGAATGTAGTTGGCATTAAGACGATGCCAACATGTGTCCGCTTCATGGCCCTTCTTTTTGCAAATTTGACAGATAGATGCAAGATTTTGAGAGTTCCTGTTTGCCGTAGATGCATCGGGTTGATGGCGCGTTTTACCGCGACGACCTCGACCCCGAACAGTATAGAGAGCCGATTGAGTATCTGGTTGACGGGCGAACTTTAGAGCCGATGATTTGAGGTGAATCTCTTCACTAATTAGAAGAGCGTAAAGATTGTCCAACGTCATAGTGCTCTGCATTGTTCGAATTGTAGTCGTAAATGACTGATAAGCCGGCGGGAGACCGTTTAAGATGTAGATAATAACATCTTCCGTATCAACAGAAGATCCAGCCGAAGATATTTGATCTACAATCTTCTTGATTTCAGTTAGGTACTGCGTCATCGTTATATTATTCATCGTAATGTTGTGGAGCTCATTTTTGAGCTGAATGACTTTGGACCTGTTAGAAGACTGAAATCTTGTGTGAAGCGTCGCCCAAATTTCTTGAGTTGAGTCAAGATGGATAACATACGGCAACACTTCGGCAGAGATCATCGAACACATTGCGGTCGCAAGGTTCTGGTCGATGACCAGCCATTGAGCGGTATCTTGATTTGGATCGCGATTTTCTGCGCCCGATTTGAGATCAAGAAATGTCGCGAAGCCATTAGCCTTGAATAATTTGGCTATTTGCGTGCTCCAAATGGGAAAATTGTTCGGTGTGAGAGAATGAGGAACAAGAAATTTTAAATTTGAGATAACAAACTTGAGAGATTGCGAGATGGTCGGAGCCGGCGATTGTAGGCCAGGCGTTGCCGACGTCGATGTGGAAGAGGCGGAAGCTTGATGTGCCATGGCTGTTGGCTCAGAATCTTGATTCTTCTGATACCATGTAGAAATTCATTCCTTCAAGAAACCTGAGAGGAGAGAATAAACAGTCAAGGAATATAGTAATTTTATTATCTTTTCATCCTTTGTTACATGAAGACAGACGAGTATATATAGACGGCTGTAGAGTTAATAACTCGTGTAAACAGGTAATTGGATTACAAGATTAATTAACTGGAACTAATATAGTCTTAACATTCCCCCTCAAACTGACGATCGGGAAACAATAGTCAGTTTGTGTCTCAGTAGTTTGAACCGAGCGGTAGCCAAGGGTTTCGTAAGAATGTCGGCGAGCTGATCAACCGTGCTTATTGGTAGCAACCGAATTGTATTGTTCAAGATATGCTCACGCACAAATCGTTGATCGATTTCTATATGTTTCGTTCTAGCGTGAAATACGGGATTATTTGCTAGAGCTATTGTGGAAGTGTTATCACAGAAAACATCAACCGGATTCTTGTGATCAATGCTGAATTCTTTGATAAGGCGTTTGATCCATATGGTGTCAGCGGTGGCGGATGCTAACGCTCTATATTCAGATTCTGTGGATGATCGAGAAACGGTGTTTTGTTTCTTCACGGTCCATGAAACAAGTGTATCACCAAGAAAGGTACAAAATCCGGTAGTAGATTTGCGTGTAACAGGATCCGACGCCCAGTCGGCGTCTGAGTATGTTCGGAGCTGTAGGCTGGATCGGGAAATGGGTAGACCGAACTCAAGTGTGCCTTTAATGTATCGAAGGAGTTTCTTTAGCATAATTGTGTGAACCACTTCGGGTTTGTGCATATGCTGAGACAATGTATTCACAGCATAAGCAATGTCGGGTCGTGTTAAAGTCAGGTATTGTAGAGAGCCAATAATCTTCCTGTAGAGGAGATCGTCGAAGCACGGAACATCTTCAGATTGCTGATCTGGAAGTTTGGAAAAGGAAGGATTAGCGACCGAGTTGCATTTGTGCAACTCGGCAATTTGAAGAATTGAATTGGCGTAATTGGTTTGAGATAGAAAGTACTTATCTGGAGTGGATTCGATTTTGATGCCGAGGAATTGATGGGCTAAGCCAAGATCTTTCATAGTGAATTTGTGTTTCATTTGCTCTATAA